CCAGCCCCTGAAAGAAGTCCAGGAGAAGAACTGGTTCCACTCTGGCAAACCACACTGACACACAGACAAGCCCACAAGGAGCACTGGATCCACATGGTGAATATTCAGAGATGAAATTTTACTTCCCCTCTCCAGCAGCATTTGAAAGAAATAATGGGTTTCCACTTTAGACACTGCCCTGAAGCCGTCAAGTCAGCTGCCTGTGTGATACTGGCAAGTTGTTAGTCCATCTGTGTTTTACATCAATCTCCACTCAGATGTGAGGCATCGTTGTGGTTTAACACTACACCAGCTACTAGGAAGAAAATTAACTCCATCCCAGCCAAAACCAGGACAGGCATGCCCTGCAAACATTTAGCCATGTGAAGATGCTGGTACTGGGCTTACAAGCCAAAAGAGCTGGTCACCTTCTCCAGCATTTATCACCACATCACAAACAAAGTAGTTATAACAAACTCTCCAGAAGAGCCCATAAACTATTATCAATAGAAGTTTAATCCTGAGCTGCACGTTTAATAAATTAGAGGAGAAAAAAAAAAAAATCCTCAAAGTCCAATTAACTTACAACTGGAAGACAGACAAGGAAACCAAGTCCTAATGCAAGCAAAAAGTTACAAACCTCCCATCTTGAGAGATAAAAATACACTATTTTGCAACATATCCATGAAGAGAAAGGATGGATGAGATGCATCAACAGCTGTGTTTCCTGAGGCAAACACATTGTGTACTCTTTCTCCTTACACTTCATGTTTGTCTCCAAAGCAGACACCTACAGCGTATTTTTACTTGGCATGTCCCATATTCCTCACACCCACCCTACACATATGTTTTATCTTGGTCTTATGCATCAGTCTCTTCCCATCCTACTTTACCATTTCTATTCAACTCATTCCTTCTTCCCTGTCCTGCTAAGGACTTGAGATGCAAATCACCAACCCATTGGGGATAGACTCATCTGCCCCTTCTGCTTTTAGAGCTGACTCTTAGTATCTGGCTCATCCATTTGCCTTCCACCCTCCCCCTTCTTTCAGGAAAGGGTTAACTGTGCTATACATGTGCTCAACTTCAAAGCTATGGGGAAAAAGCTTGATGGAACTGAGTAAGTGGTAGCAAAAGTCAACAGAGCTAATTCTCTGGAACTGGTTTCATCTGGTAGGACAGAGGACCTTGAACCTGTTTCTGTCAGCTGCTATCCACCCCCATGACAGGGTCGGGCAACTCAGATTCAGCAGATGCTCCAGAGTAAACACAGCTCCTGTAGCACCATAAGAGCACAGACTTCAACGCATTTGCAGTACGTACTTATATTTGAGCTTTACTTTATATCCACAAAAAAAGCTAAATGAGTATTTTACATGAAAGCTGGCGATGGGAGACCCAAGTTTCTGCAGATCCATACCCCCTCCCCCCAAAAAATGAAGCAAATGAGATCCAAATCCAGTTAAGTCTCATGAATTTCTTCAAAGTCTTTGCTGCTCAGTACTCATAAATTCCCACTATGTGTTTGCAAGCACATGCAGCTATCTGCATATCTGCATGCCTGCAGGCAAGGTACTCAATAGACTTTTGTGGTTTTGAGACTTGAAATTTGCTTTTGTCACTTAGCACTCTCCCCTCTTCTTCACAGCATTTAGCACGCACAAAAATGGTACTTTCCAGTCTGGTTATACTTGTAAGTGTGACTTAAGAGATGTGATCTTTGCACTCCTGACTTTAAAGTGGTCAGTACAGCCAGATGTTTTACATAAGATAGAGGCTGTCATCTAGCTTCCTCTCAGATTTGCAAGTATCATTCTTTTGAGAAACACCCAAGAAAGACTTCATCTTTCCCTGGTGCAGTGTTTGACTTTACTATGCAAAATGATCCCTCTGCATATTGTGCTCAACAATGTGCTAATTAAAAAAAAAAAAATCAGGTCTACACATGATGGTTGGAAGTGCTAGAAAGGCTTCTTCCTCGTGCAAAGTAAAACAAAGATGGGGAAGAGGCTACTTCTAGAGAACATGCAAGAAGTTATACAGCACTGAGTAAAAGCCTCAGAGCACTTTGGGATCAGCTCAGTGCTGCTGCACTTAGGTTTCAGCCTAACACACAGGCAAGAACCATCACCTTAGAGCAGAACTGAGTACAACAGGTACCGAAGTGCCATGAAAGGTACACTAAGGCTGGCAGACTCATTTGTAGATCCAGACAACTCTTCCTGAACCAGCACAAGACCCCGGGGGGGGGGGGGGGTGTTCACAAGAGTTAAGAGCAAAGGCAGAAGCACAGCCAGCCAGATGCCTCCTTGATTACCATACAGTAATTAGGAAGCTCATCGAAAAGCTTACGGAAATTGTGTGGCATCTCCTTATGGGTTGGCATCTGTAGACTCTACTTCTACCATCTTCAAAGGGCTGGTAATTCATTGGGACACATAAAACTGAAGAGCTCCCATTAAACTGTAACAAATCCTGTTCAAAGAGGACCTTCATTTTGCATCTCACATACCTGTCAGAAAGTGGTGAAAAAACTAGAGCTGACTATATCCATCATCACTCTCCAGCCAGCCTAAACTCGGTGCTCTCTGTTTGAGAGGGAAAATGATCACCACACCCAGGTAACTGTAAGCACTCTTAAAAAAACCCAACCAAACAACAAAACAAACAGATCCTCCTCCAGAGCAGAAATAGCTCTGATTTTTTTTTTTTTTAAAAAAGGAAGAAAACCCACAAACAAAAACACAACCGAAAACTCAAAACAAAATACCCCCCCCAAAACCACCAAAAATCCACATGCCCCCTTTAAGGGGGAATTTATAAATCAGTTGCTGCAGAGTAGTTTTAAAAGTTACAAATATTACAAACAACCACACAGTTTTCAAGAACCTTTATACATCATCTTTTTTAATTAGATTAGCTTTACAAGCAACTTGAGAGCTCTTTCATAATGAACACTGCTTTTCAAATTACACAACTTTATAGGCAACCTGTAAATGAATCCTGAATTTCTTTGCCTGCTATAGATAAAGGTGTCATATTTTACAGCTGGCTAACATCATGAATAAAAATAGCATTATGAAGCTTTATCTTTAACCAGGACTAGACACATACAGATCATAAGACAGTTTAAAAAATAGTTTCAAAACAAGGACCTGCTTGGTGATGCTCAAGACTGAATATTCAACCGACATGAAATGAACAGTTTCTAGAAGACATGGAAGAAACGGCTGACTGATTTTTTGACCCTATTGTAATGACTTACATGGAGTGAAAAATTAAGCACTTTTTAAACCTGTCTGGCAAGCACAAACCTACAGTGTGATTAGAATTTGATACACCGTGTAACTGCAGAAGTTTGAATTACAGAGGGACTGAAATGAGTTTAAAGGCTTATGCTTACATTTCTAAAACAAAACCAACCAAACCTCTGTTAAAGTGGTACTAAAAGAAGATGAAATAGAAAGATGTGGCTTTTTTGCTTGTTTCATTGGTAGCCTAAATGCACTGCAGACCAGACAGTAATGAAGATTTGCACTCCTTGGCCAGGTTGGCAGAGGCACTTACAGTAAAGTTATCCTGTCTGTTTTTCTGGGAAGAAAAGAGGAAAGAGGATGAGAACTGTAAAGGGCAAGAACTTACTAAAAAAAGGAAAAGTGAAATCAAAACAAAACTGGGATTTCTGTTGGTTCTCCTAAATAATACACCAATACTGATTTTTTTCCCCTTTCTGTCAGTTTGTTACTAAACAATTAGCTTTTTCATGTTTTACATGAACAATAGTAATCTTTTTAATAAAAAATTACTGAGCTTTCCATAGAAAAGGTCTCTAATTGAATACAAACTATACAGATGCTAAAATTGTCACAAGTTGTAATATATACAGAAATATTTCTGTACACTCACATTGTTTTGGCTAAGTAAGGAAATAAGGGACAGATTGAAAACTGCAGTGGGTAAGTTGATCAACCCTCAAACTCCTGTAAATATGAATGCTGTCTTTTATAGGTTTGCTTTTGTTTTCTCAAGCTTTTAAAGCTCAGGAAAAAAAAAAGGAAGAAGGAAAAAACCAAAAATATCAAAGTTTCTGCACGTTACTTTTATTGTGATGTCCCCTCTCCTTGATAAAATGAAAACAATGTAAAAAGAAAATAAAGGTTTTCTTACTAAATATATACCTCAGCATTGGTCAAAGGGCAGTGCCTTTTCGGGGAAATCCTTCAGCACAGTGAAAACCTAAAGATGTATTGCACAAGGAGCCTACAGTGATGCACTTCAGCTTCAGTGTGCTGACCACCTCCTTGATACTATATAATAGGTCAAGGTGTCAACTTACAGACTGCATGGGACACCAACATTTGAAAAGGAAATTAAAAAAGTGAATTTTAGACAGTCTATTAATTTATATACAAAGGAAAGTAGAGTGGCAAGTATTCTTTAGAAAAGGGAGAATGCTCAAAATTTTCTGTCAAGTACATAGGGAGGTTCTGGGTACCTCTAATAGCCTAGGAAAGCCCTTGTATGTTCTTGTAACTTGATGGTATTTACCAGATCCCCAAAGCCAATGACAGCAACCGATAGTGTCAAGTTCACTTAGTGCCAATCACTTTAAAATAAAAAAATAAAACCCAAAACGAAAATAAATCAAACCAAAAAACAAAGAAGAAACAGAAACTTCCCCTCCGTGGATTCAACATACAAAACCACAAACTGAATGTTACTAATAGCAAGATACTGATTTGCTTCTGTTAATAAGGTTCAAGAGGACATAGTCAAAAAAACAATACAGCAGCAATCTTTAAAAGTTAAGATTAGTGTGAGATATGATATAAAACAATCAGGTTTTTAGCTGGTAATTAAAGTGCTCCTTTTTTGACTTAAGGTGTAAAGAAAATTAAAGTGATTATCAGTTACTGGCAACCCTTACATTGAATTAGGTCTTTCATGGCAGAGGAGAACAGTATGAACAGTTTTACAAAAATAGATCCATGTTATTTTGGAGAATACTGTAAATTTTTTTCTTTTTTTTTCAGTTTTTCTTTTTTTTTTTTTTAAGACTCAATTTTGATAAACTGTACCTGGTCATACAAAAATTACCCAAAATTCAAACTTTTACCATATAAAAAAAGGGAGAGATGAATTGGATTCAGCTGGATGACAGGTCTGGCAAAATATAAGGATGGACAAATTCTATGTAGGGCACTTATTTATGTCCAGATGCATATGTTGTTTCTTACTGATTGCTTATCTTCTTCACATAAGCAGTCACAGGCCTGGAGTCACAATCACATAGTACAATGCTTCAGCAGTCAAAGAATCTTCTATTTGATGCAACATTGAAACACTGTTTGCTTCTTTATTCAAACGTTGGTTTGTTGTTGATTTTCCTTTATCTTGTTATTCACATTCAGAAGTTAATAGATAGCATCAAGATTTATCAGGGAGAATAGCAAGGGGAGTTGCTAAATCAAAGGCTTATAAAACGTCTTTCCCAACTGAGTCAGAAGGTTTATTAAGTTCAACCCTCACACCTTTTTCACCTGCAAAAACATGAAAAGGAAATCAGTTTCATTTTTCAGCATTTATCAAAGCACAGTCTACAGAACTGCTACATCACTTTCCAGATTAGTTTTAAGAGAGTACTTCGAAGACTGTCTCATACTACGTTCAAGCAAAATGGGTATTTTTTGTATACATTCTCTGTATAGTTAACAAGCTGTAGTTACTCGTCGCCTCTGAAAGCAGGTATGTATTTGGCTGCCCAAGTAGGAAACTGGATACTTCACTTCACATGTGCCGTTCTGAAGCTCATGACCTCAGCCTTTATAAAGGTAAACTTTAAGAACGTCCAGTTAAGAATCCGAGGATATTGTCCATGATTCTGTATCAGAATATCTGGAGTTTCTGGGTATTTTGTAAATACCCAGAAGATATTCTTTACTTTCTTTGTAAAGAAATTAAGGGATTTTTAAAATGCAACGTTCCATTTGACTTGCTGCTAAAAAATAAGCAAAAAACCCTCCACCAACCAACCCACACCTCTTCTGTCCTTTTTTCTAAAGATTGACTGAGATAACTTCAGGTACCCTCAAATAAACTGTCAAAACATTAACAGACACAGTATCTCATATTCAAGAAAAAAATTCACACATATGTTGCATGGCTTTAGTTAGAAAACTATTAATTTTTGGCTTAATGACAATCTATTTTATGACATTTTATTCTATAGTTTTGTATTTTATTACCAGTAGAAAACAAAAAGCATCTTGCACAATTCTTGCTGCAGATACAGAGCGAAGAATGCAATTTTAATTGCAAATGAAAACTGAAATCCCAACAGTATGATGACATAAATCAATTACAGGGCAAAGTGATACTGAAATTTAAACAACCCCTCCAACCCAGCCTTCCTTCCGTAAGTGTCTGCAGTTTAGGGGCACCCTGGTGAGGCAGGGGGGCATGAGGGGAGCACCTTCACTGCAGACACAAGCCCACCCAAACCACTTCCCTGCGCTCTCTGCAAGGGCAGCAGCTGAAGCTGCACGGAAACAACCGAAACAGCTCTGATCCAGCAAGGCTGGCTGCAGGAGCTGCTTGGTCACACGCGTGCGACACGAAGCCGGGCTTACAGACAGACAGGTTTCCTGTGCACACCAGGGGGGCGTGATCCGGCATTGCTGACCACCTGGAAGTCACCACCGAGCAGTGGGACAGCCTGTCCGGCCCGAGCAGAGAGACTCCCTGCGTTTTTCGCAAGCCAGGCAGGAGCTGAGCTGCTCTTACTGCTCCCGAAATGCACAAAGTCACCGGCTGCACCAAGGTGGACTGAACTACGCTGCAGCTTTCGCAGCCGCTGGGCAGCTCTGGGGCTGCTGACGCGCTTCAGATGCCTCACCGCAAGGAATGGAAATCTCATTTGGAAATGAGTGGCACGTGTCTTCGACATCAGTGGTTTCGGAGCTCTTGACGAAACCGTGGAGAAACCGGCCCTGTGCATGTGTACGCTTGCGGTACACACGATTTTGCTTTATTTTTAAACTACTGTAACAAACGCAAAATCGTGATGGCAAATCACAAGCATGACAGAAGTCCTAGGCTGTTTCTCCTTATAATGTTAATTTGAACAGGAAAATTAGATCAACTTCCTCTGGAGGGAGAAGCCAGAAAAGGAAAACAGATGCTAGAATCGTGGAATTGGAAATGGAGGAAGTAGCTCCATTCTTTGATTCCAGATTTTAATTTTAGGCTTCTGTTTTTTCCAGTATAGACATTCTAGTCAAGTTAAGTTGCACTCGCTTGTCGAATCACCGTGTGCAACCAAAACTATTTCCAGGGCTCTCAGTTCTGCAGCACCTCAGTCTCTGGTGTATTTATCCTCCACACCTATTTGGGAGACAAGACTAGGGAGAAGCTTTATCTCCCATATAAAAATACTGAACAGCCTCAGATCTCAGAGGAAGCGTGAGCAGGACAAGGTACTGACCTGGATTTCCCAAGTCACTGCCTAGCAGCTCAACCACTGGATCACCTTCCCTGTAAAACCTCGCTCTCTGACTTACACTGTTTTTCCTTCCCTTTGTGCACAGGGTGGGTGACAAGGAGGTGAGGTTGGACTAATTAGCTATTCTTCCAGGAAAAAAGAACACAGAAGATATTAACAAGAGATTACCTGTTAGATATTTTACTTTAGCTCGTGCTCTTTCATCTGCATCAAAATACCACACTGTTATTGCGTACCTAGGGAAATGGATGGAAAAAGAACTCCTGAAGTATGAAGAGAAAAAACAGCAAGCACTTGACATAAAACACAACCTAAATGAGATGATATTTCTGCAGCCTGACAGAAGAAAGATTTCATAAAGCACAAAGCAAGCAGGTTTGTTTGGTTTTGGTGTTTTGTTTTGTTTTTCTATTCGTAGGTATGGTCTGAAGAGTCATTGAAAGGGTGACACTGATGCTGTAAGTTTACACTTTTTCCTAATGAGTTGCTATTATGGTTCTTGTCCAGAATCTGTAATACTGTCTCTATCTGTATCACCTTCCTCTGTGACCTCATCTTTTACTTTACTTAGTCAAGTCCATCACTGCGTCACACTGCAAGAACCTCTTTTTTTGGATGTTTGCCATAAGGGAAAACCTAATTACTCCTTCTTACACAGCTCCTCTGGTTTTCCACTGCCTATAGAAAAGACTTTAAGGAGCTTTAGTAGATGGCGTTTTACCCTCTGAGACTGCTCTGAGCACACAGGGCAGAGGGACAGCAGTACAGCCTCCCGAAAGGCTGCAAGTGGACTCACCGATGGCAGTTTCAAGCTGCTTCTTGCAAAAGTACTTGTGTTACCTCACAGCTCCAGTCCACGTTCAGTGCTCTGGCCATCCAAACTTATTGCGACATGGGCAACAGAAGTCTGGATCAACAACTCCAGTGATTTACCTATTAACGCTATCTGGAAACGCCACTCAGGGTGTGGGGGCAGCGAAGGCAGGTACCTTCAGCATCATCCCCTGCCCTGCACTGAGGGACAAAGGAGATAGCAAGTTCCCTCTGTGACTCAGACTAGGAGCAACTCCTCTAATAGTCCAGAGGAAGAAAAGATATGTGTATCAAATGTCGTTTCTGCCCCACAGCCCCCTCCCGATTCCCAAACTAGAACGTGGTGGCTTACTTTGGAAATTACTGTTTTATAACAAGTCCCTCCCAACATGAGGGGACATAAATCTGAAGTACCTAGTCAATCTTCCAGTAATGCAGGAAGGTGCTAAGGACAAAGGGAAGGGAGGTGAGTGTAAAGCCATTACAGAGAAATAATAAAAATAATAAAATATAATAAATAATTAATAATAAATCAAATGAACAAAAATAAGACAACACCCCTTGGCCAAGGTGGGGTCTGCTTATGGCTCTGTAGGCTCCAATCCAGTTCTGCCAAGTACACGCTCAGAAACTTCCAGAGTTTCCAGTCCTCCCTCCTATCAATCCAAGAGGATGTTTTCCCCAAAATAAGAGATCAGATATTCGTACAAACTCAGCAGCACAACAAAAGCCTAATCAACCAGTAAGAAAAAAACCCCTTCTCATCATAGTGCAACTGTAACTGTATGTGGAAAGCTCTGGGATAAGGTCATTATTAATAGTGTCACTAATCTCTCATTAGTATTCGGTCACATCCTGATAAAAGAGGCATCATGCAAAACAGGGAGAGTCCATTAGTCCTACCTTGTAGCAAATGCTGGCTGTACTTCATGAGGGTTGCGGCGATCAGACCAGAAGAATAGCAGTCTATCAAATTTGGGTTCGATATCAGCGAATTGGGCTTTACCTTCTGGAAATATCCGAAGGATGCCTCCACTTACCTACAAATTAAATACTTAAAACCAGTGCTTGAAAACAACGTCTCAGTGTATTTAAAAATCCTGAATAGCTCATTTGAAAATATTTCAGACCCTTGGAACTGAAATAAAAGTCTTTATCAGATGCTACAGAAATTACAAATCTATGGCTTTTCTGTTGATACATTTCATTTAACAATATGTTTTACACATTTTTCAGTGAGTAATTTCAGAATACTTGCAAATATTAAACCTCCATTTATATTTAAGTAATGTGGGTTTAGACTGGCTGGTTTTTAGCTGCATTACCCACTTGTAAAAAATGGACAAGACTGACATTACACAGGTGGCTAAAAATTTGCCAATACAAATGAGGGAAACATTGTATTTCACATCCAAGTTTCACCCTGTCTCATTAAAGAGATTGTTTCACTTAACAGCAGCACAAGTTCATGTCATCTTTGCTAACCAATACATCTGTCAATGTATTAATTTGTAATTTAAAATAGATTTTGCACAATATGAAATACCTCTGTTCATAAATTAAACATCCAGCTAGTAAATTTTTCCACAGTCATTGTGAAAATGCAATTTGACTTCTACACTCTGGTACATATTAATTTTTTTCCAGGACAGAAACTGTAAATCAACTAAAAATGCCCCAAAGTGGCATTTTAAGACATTCAGTCCAACCAGTGCACTTATATGTGAAGATGCTACCATGGCAAAAAAGGCTAGTAATTTATTTTATTATGGAAGGTTCAAATTTGACATTTCAAAGAACAGTCAGAAACAGAAAGCTTCAAGTGCATCCATTTCTGACTCAGCCTTCTCATCTACCAGTTTTATGTGAGTACATTATCAGCCTCATTGTCTCATCCAGCTCTTTTAAGAAATGGACAGCATTCAAGAAAAGAAACGAAAGAAAAAAAAAACTCTCAGCTGCAACCTGTGTTACCCATATCTGGTGCACCCAATTCACAGAAGCTGACTGCTTACGTGCTCTTCCACACGCTACTTCCTAAGTACGATAGAAGTATCAGTAGTTTTATCTTTTTTTTTTTCATATACAATGAGAATAACTGCATAGCTAACTGCACAGCAATCAAGGAATAAACAAAGCTATCTTTGCTTTACTCTCTCATGCTTTCAATACAGCCAGTTAGCTACATCCATTCTTCAAATCTACCTAATGCCACTGAATTGCTAGGAAAATCCTTATTAAAAAGTTACTTTATCATAGTCACTGCATCTATGAAGATTTTCAAGTCACTGGCAGTAAATACTTGGACCACTTGAACTGTGTTATAAATTCTTATCTATTCTACACCCTATATCTACAATGGTACAAAGACTTATGCTGCTTTGAACTATACTGATATAGTAAGAAGCATTAACACTTGGCTTATTTGATACTGCTCCCAAGCTACAGCATCTTTCTTTTTATACGCATACTCGATGAAGTAATCTAGTTGCACAAACAGTAAACTCAAGATTCAACAAGAATATAAAGAGAATTAAACTAAAAGCAATTATCTTTCAAATACCCTTTATTTACTAGCTGTGTATGTGTGTAGGGGGGAGTTTACCATACAAATAACGTACGATAAATTGCATAATTAGATACTGATGAGGCTTGGATACTAGCAGATGCTTATATGTATAATTAAGAAAAATAAATGAAAAAACACGACTTTTCCTTAATTTCACTGTCAAGGAGGTCCCATTGGCATCATTCAAAACCTTGAAGATAAATGCCTCATCTCCATCTGCTCTCACTAACAGCTGAATCAGTGGGGCAAAGGATACCCACAGTTAACATAATGTAAGAACATAACTAAGGCACAGAAACAGAGACATGATCAAAGACCTGTAGCAAAGGTGCTTGATCAAGTATATGTAAAAAAAAAGGTTATATAAATAAATTAGTGCATACCTTGGCATCCCAGTCTTTATTAAGATAATATATACACGTAACACATCTTCCGTCTCCATTTGGATTATCAACATGGCGCACGTATCCTGTTCCATTGCCTGGATAACAAGCCACCATAGCCTAGAGTCAAAGTATCAAACACAATTAATTAATTTCATCTGTGTGTAGAGAAAAGTCTATATTTTATCTGTATTAATTCCTAGAGTAATTAATACATAAGCAACAGAAAAATTAAGTTCAAAATAATGGGAAAGGAAATTTTTAATCTGCGTTTTCTTTCTAGTTGAAAAACTAGGTTTGAACACAACAGATGTCTACAACAAAGGCATGAAACACTTTGATAGAAACACTGTTAATTAAGGTATGGAAGGTGAGGCTGCTCCTGTGTTGCAATTAATCCTTCAGACTTCCCTTCCTTGAACGAAATACAAGGGAGGAAAATTGTCTTGTGTATAATTAAGTAGCATGTGCTTCTCCTTGTGATAAGAATACTCATTTTCCAGACTTAAGTTCACAGACACCTATCTTTTTATCTTTTATTCCCCCCCTCCCCTCTTCTGTGCTTCCGATGCAAAGAATTCCTCCTCAAAAAGCAGCGTCAAACTTTATTTTTAGGAGATTTTTTAGACAAGACCATTAGCCCATCTTACTCAAATCACTCCAAGTGCATTCTTGGGCTTGTGTTTTGTCCTGTACATAGGAGGTCTTTGAACCTTTGTGGAAACAAGCCTACACATATAACAAACATCCCTTTTAGTCAAGAAGTGAGAAATTGAAAACAGACACCGAACAGTAATCTGCAATAACCTTCTGACATCAAACAATTCCCACTACAGTAGTATATTTAACTTCCCATGCTGCACTTAGCTCAGCTGACTTGAAAGACCCCTAGAAGGTGGTTTGGTTTCTGAGTCATCGGACACGCGGATGTGCACGTGAAACACTGGCCATCTTGCTCACGGATGGCCTGATTAAATTGATTAGCTATCAGTTCGCATGGCCAGTTTGTTGTAGGGCACATCCCCGTATATTTATGCAGTTGCTGGAAATAGTAATCATTTCAGGTTTTTGAAAGAGATCAGAACGAAGTTTTCCAGGTCAAGTAATTCACTGTCACCATGGTACTCAGATGTCTGTAGTGACAATATCCTATCTGCAAAAAGTCATAATATCAATTTAAAAGAAAATCAAAAAACTGAGTTTCTACCAACAGTCCAAAACACCGCTAACCTCAATGAATGCCTGCCATCTAAAAACCCAAACAAACCCAAAACTTTTAAACACAATCATTCCTGTCTAGGTTTAGCTGGGTTAAACTTGAATTTGAAGTCACATCTCCGGATTTCAAACTCTTTCACCTCTCTATTGGGAAAAATATTTTTGATATTTTACATAAACCTGCTTACTGTGAAAAACGTAACCCATCAGATTAAAAGTACTTCAAGGAAATGGTTTCAGTACTTTTTTTGCTACATAATCATTGTAACATTTTTTCTCCCTTTTTAAAATACTAACAAATAAAGGTCTCCACAGTTTGCATTACTTGCAAGAAACTGCTTTGAGAACGCTGAGTAAAAGTTTAAAGTACTTGCAGTTCAATCAGTGAAATATTTGTATATCACATATAAGCAGACTGGATTTCACTATAGCAGCAAAGATTTCAAAAAATCTTTATTTCCATATATACTCTGTTAAGGGAAGAAGCAATTTTTTGGCAGCTCCTTCTAGGCAGAAATAAGAACATAGTGCTTGCCAAATTGTAGCACCGTGGTTATAAAAAACCCTAAAAATTAAACCAAACTTCATTACACTGCATGAAAAGTACTCAAAACTACAAAAAAAATATCAAATATACTTGTAATTTTGAGATTAGGCACTTCACCTGCTCAATCCCTGTACTGTAATCATAGCATAGTTGTCATTACAACTCTCACATTATGTAAACATATTACGCGTATCAAGTAACGTGACCTAATGTTTGGCAAAGCCATTACTTATCAGTTTTGCTGCAGGAAGATAAACCCACAAAAATCAAAACAGTGAGTTAAAGATATCAAATAATGTAATAAGGGTTCTGTAATTTCCTTTCTTACAGAGAAAAAAAGGAACAAAACAAAAGCAAAGCTGGGCTGGAAGAGGAAGGTATTTGGTTTCCATTGAAAGTCAGCCCTCTTGAAAAAAGGCTCATGGACCAAATAAACCCTTATCGAGCTCTCATGGAGCATGAGCAGCACTGAAAGCAGAGCCAGATCAAATCCTGTATTGGCATTCCTAATAACAGGAAAGTTTTAATTCAAGGGGTTTTCCTGAGAAGTATCATGTAAGTTAAACTTTGACATTAATTGTTGCTCAACATCTGTGTGAAACAGCTACTAAAACTCATTCAGAATAAGGAAAACGTTGAGACCAGTTAGCTAGAGAAACGCCAATTCTCACTAAAATCACGAGGAGTTAGATTCAGGTATTAAAAGGTTTTCAGGCATGTAAATGACCTAAATATCTGTCGCGGAGCTAAGAAAACCTAGTGTCAGAAGTTTAGGACAGTTCCCAGGTCTCTCTGGCCAATACAGTGTTTTTTTTCAAGGGCGCACGCTTGGTTGCCATTTGTTCCTCAAAAAGATAAATTTGCAGTTAGAGAAGCATAAATTTGCATCCTGTTGCTATAGTTTCCCTTATAAGGTACTGAAATGGATACTTTAACATCAACATTGCCAAAGAAAAAGAGGACCAGTAGCGCTTTTTGGAAAGCCTGGGGAAAACACCAGCTGTCATCAGCTTCATAAAAGGAGGAGCCATATTCAGTGTCAGAAGCGTTTCATGCAATCATTTGACTCTAAAATGTTGACATTGTGTTTTTTTAAAAAAAAGCCCGTGTTTCTTGGCTTTAGTCTGAAACTTCTGCTATCATTAACTGGAAGAGACGAGAAACAGTTTTGCTGCGATAACTTATCTAATACATATTTGTTATAACAGTAAGAATGACTCAGCCTTTTGCAGCCAACTGGAAAGCAAACAAATCCGCAAACCGGCCAGTGGGGCATAGGTTGCTTTCGCCAGTTAGTGTGACAGTTCTCTCTCCCCAGTTGAACTACGGTTAAGTCACAAAACTTAACAATTTCCAGGACACGGAAAATGTATTGCTTTGTGAAACAACATGAAATGAGAGCATGTCAAAATGTCATGTACTGCAAGATTACTCACATGGAAAGGACAAAAAATTGACCTAAGTAAATAACAAAGTCACATAGTTTTGTTGTTGTTTTACCATTTTACAGTATAAGCTAGCAAATGTATGTTAGGCAGGGAGAAAATTTGGGGTTTGTGGCTTTTTTTTTTAAGCACTGTTAATAGCAGTCAAAAAAGCCAAGCATTTGAGACCAGAATGTCCAACATTCCTTAGCGTTTTAGACTACAAACAATAAAGTCTTTCGCTGTCCAAAGTAGAGAGCTACTCGTCCCATCAGTTCTCCCATAAAAGCGATCGGGGAATTCAACTCAAGACACTTGCTCTTTTGTAACTGACAAGGAGGTCTCCTCTTTTGTGCTTCTCAGGCATTATAATTTTTCAGCATTTAGCAATCTTAAATATATTCTTTGCAGAAAAATTAAGTCACACATTGGATTCATTCACCCTCTGGACTCCTTTGCAAACATTTTTAGTATTGACCTTCTTTAACCCAACAGCATTCTCTTTTAGTCTGCGCACTGCTGCCTAGCACATGAGGGCTGTCCTAAGATACCCTCCGGAATTCATGAGTAACTGAGAAAGCATGAATTCGCCCTCCCTACAAACTGAAGCAGCTGCTGATTGCTCATTCACATACAGATGTTCTACTTGCAAACATTTAACTCTGAAATATTAACTTTAGGCCATCAGCCCAAATGAGCAACATTAAGTTCTTAACAGAAGAACTAATCAAACCCACAGATTTTTTTGGCTCAGCAACCCCATCCTCAGTGTGTCAGCCATTATTCCAATTAGCAATTAAATGCACGAAGGTAACATCAGAGGGAGTAATCCATGGGGTTTTTTTTCCACGATGTAAAGAGGCATCAGCTAAGACACTCAGCCCTGGGAGGCACAGCACACCAGTGCAGCAGAAAATGGGAGTTCAGTTAGGAGCTGCCTCCATCCTCTTCCCAGAGGAGTACGACAGCCTCTCCCATATATCATAGATTCTATGGCATAGATATGACAGCCTCTCCCACACACAAAGAAGGGAAACTTGCAGGTAAACAGACTGAAGCTTTTTTCCTCCATCCTCTCCCCTTTCTCCCACAGCTGGATACCTACAAGTTTTAGGTCTTGCTCCTTAAGAAAATGAAGCAATGATAGCAAATTCTTAGGAAAGAGAGGAAAATACCAGTTATATAACAACATAAAATTCCTTGAGGGGGTGGGGGAAACCCAAACCACAAATACAAAACGGAGAGGGGACGTGTTCTGTCATATTAACTTATTAATGTGAAAAAACTTTGTTTAGCTCAGACTAAAGAAAGCTGCATCAGTTAAGGAGATGTCACTTTTGCTGTTTGCTGAAGGAACTGCAAATCTCAGTGAGCAAAACAAGATGTCTAAATACAAGACCAATGGCTTCCTACCAAAATTTATCAGGTGCTCTCAAAGACTTGACTGGAAATCCTTGGCATAGGTCATTTGATAGATTATTCAAAGAAAAAAACAAAACCAACCCACAAATCAAAAACCATCACTGAAACAAAGAACCAAAGAAAAGAAAAAATCTGACCTGTTTGGTCCATCAGTGATATATTTCTAGTTCAAGAATTTGTTCATCCCTGACAAACAACAGTCCTGAGGAAATGCATTTCAGTTTAAGCACGTGTCACTAAGATTTTTTTCACCAGGTGTGTGAAACAACAATCAAACTGTAGGAAAAAACACTGTATTGGTTCTACCTTGCATGAGCATAGTCAAGGCGACTGACTTAAACATGCTAATGTGGTACAACCTGGCTTGGACTGTAGTCTTCTCCTGCAGACTCTTCACAATCAGAGACAGAAATTTGCAATGCAAAGAAAATATTAACTGGGGAGACACTCCTGTCAGCCTTACCCAAAAAGAGGAAGCTGAAAGGGCTAAAATAAACTCTTTGGGA